GTGGTCTATAATGATGTTGTCTTGTGGTCTATAATGATGTTGTCTTGTGGTCTATAATGATGTTGTCTTGTGGTCTATAATAATGTTGTCTTGTGGTCTATAATGATGTTGTGTTGTGATCTATAATGATGTTGATGTGTGGTGTATAATGTTGTCTTGTGGTCTATAATGATGTTGTCTTGTGGTCTATAATGATGTTGTCTTGTGGTCTATAATGATGTCTTGTGGTCTATAATGATGTCTTGTGGTCTATAATGATGTTGTCTTGTGGTCTATAATGTTGTCTTGTGGTCTATAATGATGTCTTGTGGTTTATAATGATGTTGTCTTGTGGTCTATAATGATGTTGTCTTGTGGTCTATAATGTTGTCTTGTGGTCTATAATGTTGTCTTGTGGTCTATAATGTTGTCTTGTGGTCTATAATGATGTTGTCTTGTGGTCTATAATGTTGTCTTGTGGTCTATAATAATGTTGTCTTGTGGTCTATAATGTTGTCTTGTGGTCTATAATGATGTCTTGTGGTCTATAATGATGTCTTGTGGTCTATAATGTTGTCTTGTGGTCTATAATGATGTTGTCTTGTGGTCTATAATGATGTCTTGTGGTCTATAATGATGTCTTGTGGTCTATAATGATGTTGTCTTGTGGTCTATAATGTTGTCTTGTGGTCTATAATGATGTCTTGTGGTTTATAATGATGTTGTCTTGTGGTCTATAATGATGTTGTCTTGTGGTCTATAATGTTGTCTTGTGGTCTATAATGTTGTCTTGTGGTCTATAATGATGTTGTCTTGTGGTCTATAATGTTGTCTTGTGGTCTATAATGATGTTGTCTTGTGGTCTATAATGATGTCTTGTGGTCTATAATGATGTTGTCTTGTGGTCTATAATGATGTCTTGTGGTCTATAATGATGTCTTGTGGTCTATAATGATGTTGTCTTGTGGTCTATAATGATGTTGTCTTGTGGTCTATAATGTTGTCTTGTGGTCTATAATGATGTTGTCTTGTGGTCTATAATGATGTCTTGTGGTCTATAATGATGTTGTCTTGTGGTCTATAATGATGTTGTCTTGTGGTCTATAATGATGTCTTGTGGTCTATAATGATGTCTTGTGGTCTATAATGATGTTGTCTTGTGGTCTATAATGATGTTGTGTTGTGGTTTATAATGATGTCTTGTGGTCTATAATGATGTCTTGTGGTCTATAATGTTGTCTTGTGGTCTATAATGTTGTCTTGTGGTCTATAATGTTGTCTTGTGGTCTATAATAATGTTGTCTTGTGGACTATAATGATGTTGTCTTGTGGTCTATAATGTTGTCTTGTGGTCTATAATAATGTCGTCTTGTGGTCTATAATGTTGTCTTGTGGTCTATAATAATGTCGTCTTGTGGTCTATAATGTTGTCTTGTGGTCTATAATAATGTCGTCTTGTGGTCTATAATGTTGTCTTGTGGTCTATAATAATGTCGTCTTGTGGTCTATAATGTTGTCTTGTGGTCTATAATAATGTCGTCTTGTGGTCTATAATGTTGTCTTGTGGTCTATAATGATGTCTTGTGGTCTATAATGTTGTCTTGTGGTCTATAATGATGTCTTGTGGTCTATAATGATGTGTTTACTTATCACCTGCGAGTACATGTGTCTCTCTCATTGTCGACTGGAATTATTTGTCAATGAGGCTGTTTAATGTGTGAATTTGTTTGGTCACTTCCCGCTTGGCTGTGTCGTGCCCCTCTTCCTCTGAACAACACTTCCTCACACCGAAACCACTTTTATCTATCTTCCCGAAACCACTTTATCTATCTTCCCGAAACCAGTCTATCTATCTTCTCAGTTCGTTGAGATCATTCATGTCATTGCAATATATATATATATATATATATATATATATATATATATATATATATATATATATATATATATATATATATATATATATATATATATATATATATATATATATATATATGGAGTCAGTGGACAGTATCTGGTCTTGAAAGACTGCTGTTAGGTGGTGTAAGACTGTGTTGCCCCGACGCTGCAGACGATAACAGCCTAAGAAATGGTGTTGTGGGTTGCCCACCTCACTGGCAGATATTTTTGGTATATATATATGGTACAAAATTACAGAAATGTTCTCATTTTTTCCCCCACAGAATTTCCATTTATTCACTAATTTGTACACATTGTTATGTTATGGGAATTTGTACTTAAAAAAGTGGTGAATGATCTTCGTATATATTTTTTTTTTTCTGAGAGCTTCTGGTCTAGACCCTAGACCGAAGGTTCTTAACTGTGGGTTGGGTCAGTGTGGACCGGTCCACGAGAGGGGATTGGGCCATTAAGCTGTAATGGGGACTATGGTGGTGGGGTGAGAATTATTGCTTCAATAACAGCCAGGGTACAGAGCTCTGGGGGACATAGAGGCAAGAGTTATAGAGCCCTAGTGTGGCAGGGGAACATTTTATTTCACTCAACATCCTCCCCCCTCCCCTCACCCCCCCCCCGTCGCAGCCAAGGAAAGCGGGAAAGAGTTCAATCCCCGACCGTCCCTTTTTTTGTGTTTGGTCACACGAGCTTGTAAAACAAAGGCTGTAGGTTCTACAAATTTTCACGACCTAAGATCACATTCACTCCAAAAAAATCTACCACTCCCGAGCTATTCATGCCCGTGCCACCTCTTGGGTGACTTAATCTTCATCAATCAATCAATCAATGGTACAAAGGGCTCTGGTGGCAGGTGCCACTGGCTCCCTGGCCTGGCACTGAGGTGTTTCCTGTCACCACCTGTGGTCTTCTGGGGGTCGAGCCCCCTACATGTCCCCCTCTAACTCTACTGCTCAATCTAAACATTCTTGTCAGTCTAAACATGGTAGCTAGGCATGGTAGCTAGGCCCAGCACTGGTATATATAACAGCCCTGATGGTAGCTAGGCCCAGCACTGGTATATATAACAGCCCTGATGGTAGCTAGGCCCACCACTGGTATATATAACAGCCCTGATGGTAGCTAGGCCCACCACTGGTATATATAACAGCCCTGATGGTAGCTAGGCCCAGCACTGGTATATATAACAGCCCTGATGGTAGCCAGGCCCAGCACTGGTATATATAACAGCCCTGATGGTAGCTAGGCCCAGCACTGGTATATATAACAGCACTGATGGTAGCTAGGCCCAGCACTGGTATATATAACAGCCCTGATGGTAGCTAGGCCCAGCCCTGATGGTAGCTAGGCCCAGCACTGGTATATATAACAGCCCTGATGGTAGCTAGGCCCAGCACTGGTATATATAACAGCCCTGATGGTAGCTAGGCCCAGCACTGGTATATATAACAGCCCTGATGGTAGCTAGGCCCAGCACTGGTATATATAACAGCCCTGATGGTAGCTAGGCCCACCACTGGTATATATAACAGCCCTGATGGTAGCTAGGCCCAGCACTGGTATATATAACAGCCCTGATGGTAGCTAGGCCCAGCACTGGTATATATAACAGCACTGATGGTAGCTAGGACTCAGGTACACACAGACGTCACTCTCGCTAATCAATGTCATTCAGCGTGCATTAGACAGCGTGGAGACTGTCAATTAGCTGCTCTAAATGGCCGGCCCCTTGTAGACACTGACGAGCGTGGAGGCGCGGGCCTTGAGGGCCTCACATCACTAGTTAAAGATGCCAATGGTGACACACTTGTGACTGGAAGACTATCATCCTCACACTCACATACTCACACTTAGAGGGTCACATACCTCACACTCTCACAAGGTCACCCTCACACAAGGTCACCCTAAGACTCACTCACCAACACTGGCTTCCCTGCAAGAATAACTCCCCCACAATATTCTATTATTATAGTATGCAGAAAACATCAAGGCCATGCAATGGACTCGAACTCACGCTCCTGGACTCTCCAGAGATATGTACTAGGCATGAAAGTTCGATCCCATTGCATGCCCTGAATATTTTTCTCGTGGATACATCACATTGTTGTGGTGTCATTGTGCATTACTAAGCTCCCTATCTACACCATGTGACCGCCTCTATATCATGTCAATCCCTCTATCTCTACCTCTGTCAGTGTCCACTGCTCAGCTGTCAGCAGTAATGGAATAACTAATGACACTGGAACGAAAAGTTGAAGGTCAGGGTTAAGACGCCCACGCATGTGTTAGTGGGCTGCGTCACGCACTGAACTGCTTCATAAGGTAGCTAAAGGTGCGTCAGGAATATGTGTACTCACCTGGCCACCTGGTGCCTGGCCACCTGGTACCAGGCCACCTGGTACCTGGCCACCTGGTACCTGGCCACCTGGTACCTGGCCACCTGGTGCCTGGCCACCTGGTACCTGGCCACCTGGTACCTGGTGCCTGGCCACCTGGTACCTGGCCACCTGGTGCCTGGCCACCTGGTACCTGGCCACCTGGTACCTGGCCACCTGGTACCTGGCCACCTGGTGCCTGGCCACCTGGTACCTGGCCACCTGGTACCTGGCCACCTGGTACCTGGCCACCTGGTACCTGGCCACCTGGTACCTGGTGCCTGGCCACCTGGTACCTGGCCACCTGGTACCTGGCCACCTGGTACTTGGCCACCTGGTACCTGGCCACCTGGTACCTGGTGCCTGGCCACCTGGTACCTGGCCACCTGGTGCCTGGCCACCTGGTGCCTGGCCACCTGGTGCCTGGCCACCTGGTGCCTGGCCACCTGGTACCTGGCCACCTGGTACCTGGCCACCTGGTGCCTGGCCACCTGGTACCTGGCCACCTGGTACCTGGCCACCTGGTACCTGGTGCCTGGCCACCTGGTACCTGGCCACCTGGTGCCTGGCCACCTGGTACCTGGCCACCTGGTGCCTGGCCACCTGGTACCTGGCCACCTGGTACCTGGTGCCTGGCCACCTGGTACCTGGCCACCTGGTGCCTGGCCACCTGGTACCTGGCCACCTGGTACTTGGCCACCACCAGGCTGCCAGATGGCCATCACTTGAGTCATGGCGGTATTTTCCCATAACCTTGAGTCTCTACCTCAAAGCTACACCAACACAACCTTGACCAAGAACGTGGAGGCCGGAGTGATCGCCCTTCAGCGCTGTGACTCAAGTACGACACACCTGGCTCCTACTCCGACCTCTGGCTCCTCCTCCAACATCTAGGTCCTCCTCCGACCTCTGGCTCCTCCTCCAACCTCTAGGTCCTCCTCCAACCTCTGGGTCCTCCTCCAACCTCTGGCTACTCCTCCAACCTCTGGGTCCTCCTCCAACCTCTGGCTCCTCCTCCAACATCTAGGTCCTCCTCCAACCTCTGGGTCCTCCTCCAACCTCTGGCTACTCCTCCAACCTCTGGCTCCTCCTCCAACCTCTGGCTACTCCTCCAACCTCTGGGTCCTCCTCCAACCTCTGGCTCTTCCTCCAACCTCTGGCGCTCCTCAATACCACGTGTAGTTTACAATGCCTCAAAGTTTTCCTTAAGTTTGCCTGAACCTAATTACCTTGTGTCTAATATGGTCACTTGGTCATGTACTCTCATATTGTCCTAATGTGTTCTGGGAGTGCGGTGATATTTTCATAATTTAGATTTCCTGATGCTGTTTTAATGTTTGTAAGCACTCAGCGCCCCCTAATGTGTGTGTGTGTGTGTGTGTGTGTGTGTGTGTGTGTGTGTGTGTGTGTGTGTGTGTGTGTGTGTGTGTGTGTGTGTGTGTGTGACTCTCTTTCTGCGTGTGTGGGGCGCACTGCCTTTGGCTACTCTGCTTCTCTAATATATTTTTCTTTTGCACAACAAAGATGTTGGAGAATTTTCAAGAATATTTTGCGTGTGTTTGTTAATTTGGTGTGTGTGTGTGTGGGGGGGGGTGGTGTTTTAAGTTCGCATTTGTATGTTTGTGTGTAATTGACTTGAATGACCTTTCCCTCGTTTTCAGTAATTACCTTCCTATTGTTAAAAAAATTTTTACAAGAAAGAGTAATACAGTAATTTTTTGGAAACTAAATTAATATTTTTTGTATATATGATAGATTATCAGTCAATTTCTATAGAATTTGCCGGAAACAATAATCAAAACTGAAAAATATGTCAATTTTCTTTAATGTTTTATGCAACAACAACAAAAATCGGGTTTTTATATTTTGAATTTTCAAAGTAAAAAGTGACACCAGCGACGCTTAACTAAATGACTTCACCAGATATAAATAACTTTGTTTAATATATAGTGCTTCGGCTATATGTAATCTTTCTGCCGAAGCACTACATATTAAACACTCAGAAACTATGTATACTGCCTCCCAAGATGCTGAAGAGTGAACAAATCCACAAGGGCCGTGACGAGGATTCGAACCTGCGTCCGAGAGCATCCCAGACGCTGCCTTAATCGACTGAGCTACGACATGGTTAAAAGAGTTGCAACCGAATTTGTTCATTTGATGCATCACGCTATTGTGATTTCTGTGTGTATGCTGAAGACTGCTTCAGCGAAACGCTTCCAGCAGCTACACACGTCACCCCAAAATACAACTGTAAAATGATCCTTGGAGAATTAACTTGTCTACTTCCTTCCCAAGTGAAGAACATAAGAAATATAAAGATGTGTGTTAAAACATTGTTCTAACCTCTCTGTCACACTCACTAACATATGTCAAGAGGAAAGATGTCTGCCACAGTATACAAGAACACTTTATGTAGGCCATACGTAAATCTGTGTATCTATGTATTTACGTATGTAGGTTAGCTTAGCATTTTAAAAGCACCGAATCACCTTCTGTGGTTGATTGTTCAATAAACCCTTGAACTGTATGTTTAACACATCTCTAACCCTGTCCATGGAGAACAGAAGAAAATGTATATATGCTGGTTAGCATTGTAAATGTCTGGCCACGTCTGTGGTAGAAAATAATAATAAAAAAAAAAAAAAAGTATAGAGGTGTGTGTTGTGGTGCTACACTGGACACACATAACGTCAACGCTGAAGGCTCTTTCTGTGCTACACGGGGACCAGGAGCTAGATTCACGAAGCATCATCCTTTGCAGATGACACTAGGATTTTCATGAGAGTTGGCAACATAGAGGACACGGCAAACCTCCAATCAGATGTAGATCAGGTCTTTCTATGGGCTACAGAAAATAATATGGTATTCAACGAGGATAAGTTTCAGCTCATGCGCTACGGAAAAATTGAAAATATAAAAACAGAAACCACGTACAAAACGCAGGCAAATCATAACATAGAACGAAAAGGCAATGTAAAGGACCTGGGTGTACTCATGTCGGAAGACCTTACCTTTAAAGAACACAATAAAGTAGCCGTCGCAACTGCAAGAAAAATGACAGGTTGGATAACAAGAACTTTTCACACTAGAGATGCTATACCGATGATGATACTTTTCAAAACGCTTGTGCTCTCTAGAGTGGAGTACTGCTGCACAATGACAGCCCCTTTCAAAGCTGGAGAAATTGCTGACCTGGAGAGCGTGCAGAGATCCTTTACTGCTAGAATCCACTCAGTAAAACATCTAAACTATTGGGACCGACTAAAGAGCCTAAATCTGTACTCCCTTGAGCGCAGGCGGGAGAGATACATAATAATTTACACGTGGAAAATAACTGAGGGGCTGGTCCCAAACCTGCACACAGAAATAACACCACATGAGACCAGAAGACATGGCAGGATGTGCAGAATACCCCCGTTGAAAAGCAGAGGTGCAACAGGTACTCTGAGAGAGAACTCTATCAACATCAGAGGCCCGAGACTGTTCAACACGCTTCCACTACACATAAGGGACATAACTGGCCGACCCCTCACAGTGTTCAAGAGAGAACTATCAACATCAGAGGCCAGAGACTGTTCAACACGCTTCCACTACACATAAGGGACATAACTGGCCGACCCCTCACAGTGTTCAAGAGAGAACTATCAACATCAGAGGCCCGAGACTGTTCAACACGCTTCCACTACACATAAGGGACATAACTGGCCGACCCCTCACAGTGTTCAAGAGAGAACTATCAACATCAGAGGCCCGAGAATGTTCAACACGCTTCCACTACACATAAGGGACATAACTGGCCGACCCCTCACAGTGTTCAAGAGAGAACTGGATAAGCACCTCCAAAGGATACCTGATCAACCAGGCTGTGACTCATACGTCAGGCTGCGAGCAGCCGCGACTAACAGCCTGGTTGATCAGTCCAGCAACCAGGAGGCCTGGTCGACGAACGGGCCGCGGGGACACTAAGCCCCGGAAGCACCTCAAGGTAGCCTCAAGGTAAGGTAGCAGTTATCTTGAGGTTATCTTGAGATGATTTCGGGGCTTTTAGTGTCCCCGCGGCCCGGTCCTCGACCAGGCCTCCACCCCCAGAAAGCAGCCCGTGACAGCTGACTAACATCCAGGTACCTATTTACTGCTAGGTAACAGGGGCATAGGGTGAAAGAAACTCTGCCCATTGTTCCTCGCCGGCGCCTGGGATCGAGTTACGCAAGTACAGGGAACCAGATTCACGAAGCAGTTACGCCAGCACTTACGAACGTGTCCATCTTTCCTCAACATTTGACGGCTTTGGTTACATTTATTAAACAGTTTACAAGCATGAAAACTTGCCAATCAACTGTTGTTATTGTTATAAACAGCCTCCTGGTGCTTCGGAGCTCATTAACTGTTTAATAATTGTAAACAAAGCCGCCAAAGATTGAGAAAAGATGGACAGATTCGTAACTGCTTCGTGAATCTGGCCCCTGAATCTTACCTCTAAACACCCGTCATACTCAAGGGGCCAACTGGAAATACTTAGTTTTCCAAGTAATAAATTTATGGAACGGTTTACCTGCTGAAGACGTTACAGCATGCGAGGCTCTTACCTTAAAATAATGTCCGGAGAAACTATTCTTAGTAAATGGATGAACCCTTCAAAACCTGCAAGCTTTCTCAGATTTAAAGAGCCTTTGTTAAAGAGCTCATCTCAAAGAGCTCGTCTCAAAGAGCTCGTCTCAAAGAGCTCGTCTCAAAGAGCTCGTCTCAAAGAACTCGTCTCAAAGAGCTCGTCTCAAAGAGCTCGTCTCAAAGAGCTCGTCTCAAAGAACTCGTCTCAAAGAGCTCGTCTCAAAGAGCTCGTCTCAAAGAACTCGTCTCAAAGAGCTCATCTCAAAGAGCTCGTCTCAAAGAGCTCGTCTCTATTACTTGTGTTAAAAACTGTTATACTTACGTACTCTGTTATCCCGCGTGAAGAGAACACCCCAACAACCCCTTTACTCTTAACCTTGAGCACACACTCGTACATTCTGCCCACGTCACACTGACCACGAGTATACTTGCAACAAGGTGGAAGTATACCAATACGTCTTGCATGGTTTGCAGTGTTGAAGCTCCAAGAGTGGGCAAGCAGGACACGATGACGGGCACACCATCAAGAAGAGCCTTGCCACAGCCCAGTGTCCAGCAGAGAGAAACCCTCGATTTCTTCGCGTCCAATACCCTAATTGTCTGGGACTTTGACCATATATGTAGGACTACACACGGGTGAAACCTGTAGTTTCTTGAGTGTTTGTGAGGCATTTAGTGCAGCCAACCACAGAGAAACAGTCACTAGTAACAACAACTGGTCAGTTGGTAAACTTTGCTCTCTATAGTTTCTGAGGCACTTGGCGTAGGGGTAAGGGCATCCCGTTCTCAGGCTAGGCTCGTTAAAGCTTCGGCTGTCCCCCAAAGGAGCATTTATTCATTTTAAAGTATTGTGTATTAACAAAGTTTAGCAAAAGGTTTAGCAATGTATATTTCAGGGGAAAACATACACCTCAGTGAGGCTCCTCATCCAGATGTTGCCTGAGGGCCGTGGGGAAGACTCGAACCCTCGACAATGACATGTTTGTATGAAATACGTTAAAATACTCTCCTGTGGTACGTCGACCCCAGGCGATCTCTGTAATATATTACCTCGTATGAGCACACATTACTGTGGATTATGTCATGCGTATTGTTATACACACACACACACACACACACACACACACACACACACACACACACACACACACACACACACACACACACACACACACACACACTTTATCTTAAGGATAAAGGAAAAGACGTGTTGTGAGTTGGATGGAAGAG